ACCTTCAACACCCCCGCCATGTACGTCGCCATCCAGGCCGTGCTCTCGCTCTACGCCTCGGGCCGTACCACCGGTATCGTGCTCGACTCCGGCGATGGTGTCACCCACACCGTGCCCATCTACGAGGGTTATGCCCTGCCCCACGCCATCCTGCGTCTCGATCTCGCCGGTCGCGATCTCACTGACTACCTCATGAAGATCCTCACCGAGCGCGGCTACTCGTTCACCACCACCGCCGAGCGCGAGATCGTGCGTGACATCAAGGAGAAGCTGTGCTACGTCGCCCTCGACTTCGAGCAGGAGATGCACACCGCCGCCTCGTCGTCGGCCTCGAGAAGTCGTACGAGCTGCCCGACGGTCAGGTCATCACCATCGGTAACGAGCGCTTCCGCGCCCCCGAGGCCCTGTTCGCAGCCCTCGTTCCTCGGCATGGAGTCGGCCGGTATCCACGAGACCACCTACAACTCGATCATGAAGTGCGACGTCGACATCAGGAAGGACCTCTACGGTAACGTCGTCCTGTCGGGCGGTACCACCATGTTCCCCGGCATTGCCGACCGCATGCAGAAGGAGCTCACCGCCCTCGCGCCGTCGACGATGAAGATCAAGATCATCGCCCCGCCCGAGCGCAAGTACTCCGTGTGGATCGGTGGCTCCATCCTGGCCTCGCTCTCCACCTTCCAGCAGATGTGGATCTCCAAGGAGGAGTACGACGAGTCTGGTCCCTCGATTGTCCACCGCAAGTGCTTTTGAAAGGAGAAACATCGGGCGGGAAAGAAACCCTCGATTGTCCACCGCAAGTGCTTTTGAAAGGAGAAACATCGGGCGGGAAAGAAACCCTCGATTGTTCATCGCAAGTGCTTCTAGGCGAGCCTCTTTGCTGGTGTTGTTGTTGTTGTACAAACACTGTAGTAAAAGTAATACGTATGTGTGCGCTACGGCGTACAAATGTAAACACATCTTCCTTGCGTCATTCTCGTTTTCGTTCTTTCTTCGTGATCGATCGTGTTCTTCTTGAGAGCAGCCAAGAGGCGCTTGGCGGTGGAGCCAGCACACCACAAGTGCCCCAGACGTCATCTCAATCATCATCAACTGGCGCACGTGGATCACACCATTGGGGGGGAAGAGGACAGAGGTTGGGGCCACGTACCACAACCGCCACATTTCTCCACATTCCCACGGTTGGTGTCTGGTGGTTGGCCGAAAAGAGGAAAATTCGGAGCTTGTGTACTATATTCAAGGTGCAATTTCAATTGGACAAAACTTCTAGCTCCGAATGTGCATGTTTCCCATCAATCGTGTGTATGTTAGGCTGGCATTGCAGGCTGCACCCACACATATAAAATAGTGCCCCAGCTACTTCTTTTCCTCCACAATCAACACATCAACAACACAACAAACCCACGCACACCCAACCACTTTACGACTCCAAGGATGAACAAGTCTGCGACCGCCGAACAAGAGAGCATTGACAAGCCTCTGGCCCAGCTCGACGACTACCGCCTCTTGGGCGCGTCGGGCCTGCGCGTGTCTCCCCTCTGCCTCGGGGCCATGACCTTCGGCGCCGACTGGGGGGTACGACTCAACCACGCGAGTGGTGCGTTCAACTGCTGCCCTGATCTCACCTACATGATGGGCGTGATGATGGTGGTGGTTGGCAGCAATGGGGCGCGGGGTTCGAGGAAAGCAAGCGCATGTTCGACTTCTACGTCGAAAAGGGCGGCAACTTCATTGATACGGCCAACATCTACACCAACGGCACCAGTGAGCAGTACGTGGGTGAACTGGTGGCGCCGATTCGCAGCCAGATGGTGGTGGCCACCAAGTACAGCATCAATCCGCCGCCCTTCCCTGGTCTTCCGGTACCTATGCTCTACCTTTTCGTCATCCTTGCGCCCCGGTGCATCCAGTTCTGACTGCGTGGCCACGCCACCACTGCCAGCCTTCACCCACGGCCAAGAACGCCAACTACGGCGGCAATCACCGCAAGGCCCTGGTGCAGGGGCTTGATGAATCGCTGAAGCGCATGAAGCTGGACTACGTCGACGTCCTCTATGTCCACGTATGGGATCACCGTACCCCCATCGACGAGACCATGAGGTATGCGCACATAGTGTGGATCGACCAGAGCCCCATCAACTCATAAACCTCACATCCACCACTTCAACATCAGGGCCCTGGACGACGTGGTGAGGAGCGGCAAGGCCCTCTATGTCGCTGTGAGCGACACCCCCGCCTGGGTCATCTCCGCCGCCAACAACACCGCCCATCTGCGGGGCTGGAGGTACTTCACCTTGTAGGGTGGCCAGGACTTGTGATAGCACGGCTGACTGAATCGCGATGTACATCGCAGCCCCTACATTGGACTGCAGACGCGGTACAATCTGCTCGACCGGTCGCTCGAGTGGGAGCTGGGTCCCATGGCCAAGGCCTACGACATCGGCATCATCCCCTGGGGCGCCCTCGCCGAAGGCTTCCTCACCGGCAAGGTATCAATCACCTCCGCGCCAATCAGAGTCCTTCTTGTTTCGATGGAAGGGCGAGGCGTTAACCTCCCCCAATCACATCACAGCACAAGAGGGACCAACCGCACCCCGAAAGCAAGCGCGGGCACCTGTTGGAGCGCCACTTTACTGAGGAGCGCAACTGGAAGATCGTGGACGAGGTGGTGGCGGTGGCCAAGGAGATCGACAGGCCCGCGGCGCAGGTGGCACTCAACTGGCTGGCCCAGAAGCCCGGCGTGACCAGCCCGCTCGTGGGCGCCCGCACGCTCGACCAGCTCAAGGAGAACATCGCCGCGCTCGAGTTCACCCTCTCGCCCGACCACATGCAGCGCCTGGACCAGGTGAGCGAGCGGCCGATCGCCCAGCAGCCCTTCCCCAGGAACTTCATCGCCACGATGGACATGACCGTCGGCAGCACCAAGGTGGACCGCAGATATGCGGTGTAAGTGCGTGTTACACTTACACTTCGGAAAAAACGAGCCAACGGGGCTTTTCTTCCTCCTGTTGGTGGCGGTGAAAGTGCGTGTTACACTTACACTTCGGAAAAAACGAGCCAACGGGGCTTTTCTGTTTCGAAAAATATTGCGATTCTGTGAGTTTGGGACCGCCAAAGAAAAAGCAAAAAGAATGGCCAGTATGGGGATCGAACCCACGACCTTGGCGTTATTAGCACCACGCTCTACCAACTAAGCTAACCGGCCTTGTCAAGTTGTGGTCTGTTTGGTGGACACAGCACAGGTTCAATGAGAGGTGAGCAAGACGGGAGGTAAACTCCCTGCCCTGGACAGGAGGGGGTACTTGCTTGATAGTGGCGCGAGGAATGGAGAAGCAAAAGGATACGGCACGGTGGATTCCCGGGTGGTCGCCCACCCCAGTACTAACACCGCCTGGCGCAGCTTAACTTCGCTGTTCGGATGGGAAGCGGTGCTTTCTGCGCAGTATGGCCGTATCCGACAATCTAGACACGCTCCCCTCGTATAAGTCGGTTGCGCTCCTGCTCGCTGGTGGACATTGCCCCACTTTCCATCATAACCGTGCTGGCAAAAGGAGAAGTGCTTGACGTAGCAACACTGTATTCACGAGTGGTGTGGGACAGGTGCCTCCATCACAGCTTGTTCTCATGGAGGGCCGCCTGAACGGCGTCCAGCACTGCCTGATGGAGTTTGCCGTTCGTAGCCACCACGCCCTGCACGCACCCATCAAGTTTCGGGTTTAGCAGAGTTAGCGAACCGCGTGCCAATGGCGCACACAACGGCAGAAGAATCGGTACCTTGTTGTGCGAGAGCTTCTTGCCGTGAGACCAGTCCAAGGGCTTGCCCTCGAGATCGGTCACCTCGCCGCCGGCCTCCTTGACGATCACCACGCCAGCGGCGTGGTCCCAGATGTTCTCCACGTACGACGAGCTGGGCACACGCGGGGCGTTTGTTGGTGAGCACCCAAACAGGGGAGTGGGAGGGTGTGGGGGTGTACCTGGTCAGCCTGAGATAGATCGAAGCGTCACCTCGAGCCACTATCCCGTACTTGCATTGGCTGTCCATGCGCACCGGCGCGGCCGTTACGCCTGCCGCACACGACAACACGCACGCACGCACGACAAAGGTGGTGAGTACAGTCACCGTACGATAGGAATGGAAGACAGAGAGAGACAGAGAAAGGGTACCCAGCTTCTGCGCGATGCGCTGGCTAACGTCGTGCGACGAGTGCGAGGCCTCCACGCTTTCGGTGAAGTTGGCCTGGGCGCTGTCGGTCACGCTCGACGCGGAGACCTTGGTCTCCTCCGCGGCCTCCTTGCTGGCGGAGCGCATGAAGCAACCCTGTCCCTTCACCGCCACCAGCACACAGCCCACAGGCGATGCTGACGTCATCACCACCAGTGACACGGAGCGTGAGTCACCGCGTCAACGTTGGTGCAGAAGAAGAAGAAGAAGCCGGCGTACAGGCATCGGCGATGTCGTGGGGCAGGGCCGGGCAGCCGAGCACGCCGAGCACGGGCTCGTTGTCCTGCATCAGGGCCAGCGCAATCGCGTACTGCTCCCGCCTGAGGAATCCGAGCGTACCATCTGCACACATTTCTTCATGTCAGCGCACACGGACACAACCGCACGCACCACCGCACACAACGCCACACACGCATTACCGCACGCACATAACACAGAAGATACCGATGGGGTCCAGCGTCCACCAGAGGCCCGAGGGTGACTTGGCCTCCTCGCCCTCCTCCTTCCTGGCCTTGGTCACGCCGCTGCCGCCGCGGTCGATGACGTCGAGCAGCGCGGCCTCGTCCTGGATCGACGGCACGACGGTGCGGACGTGGTCGAGCAGCCGGGCGCGCATCTCCTCCTTGCCCTCGCGGCGCAGCTCGCCGCTGGACTCCTCGGCGATGAAGGGGTAGGCGGGAAAGTGGTGGGTGAGGTGGTGGACGATGAGCACCTGCGCGGCGTAGTCGGCCACGGTGACGGGCGAGCGGTCGCGCTTCTCGAGGGTCTCCTGCGAGACGAGGCTCTCCTGCACGCGGCGCACGAGCTGGCACGCGCCCACGACGGCCTCCAGCGCGGCTTGACGCTCCTGCGCGAAGGGCAGGCCACCGATTGAAGATGAAGATGATGACATCGTTCTACTACTTCTTTTGTCGAGAAGAACGACTGCGCGAATTGGAAGGGGGCGAGAAGATGCAAAAAAGGTTGGCTGGCTTCTGTGCAAACACGAGCCAAACACGATCGTACGCTGGCGTAGAGATCGAATGGTGATCAATTCAGTTTCTGGTTTTTACGCGAACGATTTGCTCTCGTAGAACAAAATTTCTATTTATTATTTATCGGGCGCAGCTCGACGCGCATCTGGTGGAGCTCATCTAGCACGCGCTGGCCGCCTCTCTTGACGAGGGACCCACCACATGGTCGACCATCGTCGCCTCCACCGCCGGTGAGCACGGTCCACACACGCTCGGCCTTGTCGATCCAGGCCAGCGTGCGGCGCGGGTCGCGGCGCGCGTTGAACCAGGCCTGGGCCAGCTTCGCGTACTGGTCGGCCAGTTCGAAGGAGAAGGGCGCGAAGCGCGACTCGAGTACCGCCACCGCGCGCTCGAGGTGCGTCGCGGCCGCCTCGTACCGCCCGAGCCGCGCGTGGGCTTCGGCGAGCGCGTCGTGGGTGCGCCCCAGCTCGCGGTGCTGCGGGTGGAGGTACTTGGCCCGCAGGCGCAGGGCATGCGCCAGGCTCTGCGCCGCGCGCTCGACGTCACCATCACCGCTACCGTCACCACCACCGCCATCGAGGGCTCGGCGCGCCCGCTCGTAGAACTCCCTGGCCAGCTTGATCTCGCGCTGCACGACGCGGATGTCCACCTCTTCCCCGCAGCCACACACGATCACGAAATTGCCTGGGGTTGGGTGTGGTGGTGTGGCGGTGAGCGATCATCAGCAGACTAAGCTGGCCTGCAGCATTGCTGGTACCCTGGCGCAGCTGCTCTGGGTTGATCTGGAGTTCGCGTGTGCAGCCCTCCGAGCCGCACACCAGGTAGTCAAAGTCCTGGCCTCCCTGCTCGACACTGCTGGTGACGTAGTATGGGGGTGTTGGGTTAGTGTGGTTGTGCTGGGCTCTGAGCTGCTTAGAAAGGCGGGAATCCAAGGCACCTGGAGCATGCGTCACAGCGACAGGTGAAGAAGTACTGGTGGCGCAGCGCCTTCTGCCGTTCGTCACGTGACGGTATATGAGCCACGTGCGGGCCGTAGCAATTTAGCACCTCCTTGCCCTTGGCAATGTCCTCGCATGCCCTGCCCACACACACACACACACACACACAACACACACAACGTAGGAGTGGTGAGCACTAGAAACCCTACAGGTGGTCGGTACAGGCTGTTGTCACCTTATCGTCAGGACTCGGCCCTCGTAGTTGAGCACGGTGTTGGGACGGCAGGAGTGGTTGAACAGGCTCCCGGTGGCGTACATGGCCTCAGCGACTCGTCGCTGCACGACTGCATCCCCCGCCCCAACCACCACCACAGGCGCGTTAGCAACACGTGGTGTGAGACCAGAGCAACTGCGCACTATCGGCTTCGTACCGCCGCCGTGCTCATCATCGTCGGCAACTTCGTAGATGGCGTAGACGTTGGTGTGGGTCTGGCACAGGTGTCGAAACAGCAGCCTGATGTCCATCCACTTCCCCATACGCACATCGTCATCGTCTTCGCTTTCGTTCTTGCTCTGTACATCGTTCTCGCCTCCGCCGCCTATCTGCCTTCGTTGTTCCTCTTCTTCTCTTGCGCGATTCGCTCTGTGCTCGACGTAGGCTCGCGCCACGATGCAGTACCGGAGGTACTCCTCGATCGTTTCCTTCGGCAGGTCCTCGACATGCGGCAGCAGCGAGCAAATGTCTCCGTAGTCGGCTCGCCACTCGTCGTCTCCGCGCGGGACCAGGCCACGGAGGGGCTGGCCCGTGGTCGGCGCCCGACCATCAAGGCCCTGCGCAGCTCCTTCGCGTGCTTGTCGCCGGAGAAGGATGCGCAGGCACAACACCAACAGCGTGGGGGCCGCCTCGAAGAAGGCTTCACCGCTGGCCACTCACGGCTGTCAGTCTCGAAGTGTGTGAGTTGTGTGGTGTTGGCGTACCACTCGTAGACATGGTACCAGGCGGCCGCTTCTCGACATCGCTCGGAACAAAAGCGTGCCCACGAGCACCGACAGCAACTGCAAGCGTCAACGAAAAAGCGCACCTACGTTAGCGCGACGCCGTCGGACGCCGACCGAGAGCGGGGTTGAAGCGAATGACGAGCTGGACGTGTACGGGATGAGCACCGCCTCCTGGGTGAAGCAGTGGTGGCAGTGGGTCAGTTCGTAGGGCCGAAGCAGAACGGCAGCGTAGGCCTCTTCGCGCGTCACGGGCTCGCCCAACTTGATGTCCTCCGCAGCCACAACGAAGCGGCCCGCCTGATTCACGTGGTCGATGATCATTCGAAGAATTCACTCTACACGCAGCCCCAGGCAGAGCTCAGAACGCATAGCATACCTCTGGGCTACGCCGGATTGCGACGGCGGACGAAGCGTGAGCAATGCGAGGGTTGTCCATCGAAGGCGAAGGCTGTGCCGTAGCGGCTCCTCTCGTCTCGCCCTTCTTCCTCTGCCCCTTCTTCTCTCCTGCGATGGCCCTTCTCGCCTGGTCCACCTCTTTAGTGATCTGGGCCTTGACGGGCGCAAGGCTGGCCTCCTGCAGCGCAGCGCCAGGCGCGTGCGTAGTGTCAAACACGTATGCGTTGAGTGGTGGAGAGTGTCAAGTGGGCAGTCACTCACCTGACCGGCACGCTCGTTCAAGAGCGCCAGCGCCTGCTGCAGGTCCACCCAGGCGAGCGATGGCTGGCCCAGGCGGAGCCGGCAGTTGCCCCGTCGCTGCAGCAGTTTGAACAGCTTGTCTGCCGGATAGCCTGCTCTGCGCGGTTCACACGAACAACGTTGCAACCAACCGGCCAATGCTCATCTCAGCTCAAAGAAGAAGAAGAAGAAGTTGTGGATGGAGGTGGTACTGTTGCGCCCTGTCGCAGTCCTCGGCAGCCGCGTCGAAGCGTTCCATTTGGTACAGCACCGCAGCGCGGTTGGCGTAGGCCAGCCCACCCAGCTTCGTTCTGGCTCCGCCGCAGCAAAGGGCCTCCGTGTAGGCACGTAGTGCTTGGCCGAGCAGGCGTGCGTGCGGGCCTGGGCTGCCGCGGGACTGTCGTTCAGCGGCCTGCCATTGCCCGTACAGCTCGTCGCCCTTTTGCTTCCACTTCAGGGCCTGGTCATCGTCGGCGGCACCGCGCTCGGGTGCGTCTGCTGCAGCGAGAGCGGCACTGATCTCCGGCACCTTGTGCATGCATTGAACTGGCAGATCGAAGCTTGCGCTTTGCGATGAAGATGTGCGAAGATTTTCGAGCTCGGCCTCAGCAAAGTGGACCAGCCGAGCGCAGGCGAAGGCTCTTTCCGCGTGACCGCGCCGGCGTGCCTTCCCCTCCATCTTTTCTTTGTTGGGAGCACGGAAAGGTGTTACGACCGGACTCGAACGCACGGTGTCTTCAAGAAGCTAAAGCAGGCTAAGGCCGCAGGAGGAGGGAGAAGAAGAGCAAGCCAACCAGGGTCACAAGCGACAAATGGGAGTCAGCGCTTGATCAATGGCTGAGTCTGTTGAGAGTGCCATGTGCAAGGGTTCTGATTACACACTGTGGGATCTTGGACAAGTAATTTCCAAGCACCAGATCAGCACAGAGCCATCAGGTCCATAAAGTGCTCAACCCAAATGGGCTTTTGGTGCTGTTGGGCTTGTGCATTGTCTGTGGTGG